AGACAGTTTGGCAGTTTCTTACAAAACTAAACATACTCCTACCATGTGATCCAGCCATCACACTTCTTGATATTTACTCAAATGCTTTGAAAACTTATGTCCACACAAAAACCTGCACACAGATGTGTATAGCTGCTTTACTCATAATTGCTAAAACTTGGGAGAAACTAAGATGTCCTTCAGTAGGTGAATGGTTAAAAAAACAAAACAAAACTGTGCTACATCCAGACAATGCAATATTATCCAGCACTAAAAAGAAAGAAGCTATCAAGCCATGAAAAGTCATAGGGGAAACAAATACATGCTACTAAGTGAAAGAAGTCAATCTGTGAAAGCTACCTACTGTATGATTCTAAGTATATGATATTCTGGAAAAGGCAAAACTATGGAATAAATAAAAAGATCAGTGGTTTCTAGGGGTTGGTGAGGTGGGTATGAATAGGCAGACTCACAGGGGATTTTTAAGGTAGTGAAACACTTTCTGTGTGATACTCTAAATGGTGGATACATGTCATTAAACATTTTTCCAAACCCAGAGAATGTACAACACCAAGATTAGGATCAGAGATGCTAAATAACTTGCCAGGATTATATAGCCTCTGGATGGCAGATTGAGGATAGAATTTACCCCAGTACTCTTCCTGAAGTACACTCTCTTTTACTAAGTTGGTCTCAGGGGTTGATGTCTTTGTGTCAGACATCGTTGGTAGTCTTACTAATAGTCTCACCCACTTCTTGCTTGCTGAGAGATCCAAGATTTTGTCTGGATAAAGAAAAGCAACGTGCTTAGAGAAGGTTAGTCTCTTTGCCCTCTTCCCCATCCAATGACTGGGCACCAATTACAGCAAACTCATTCTCTTGGCCGAAAAGACATAAGAGGAACTTTGCTGAGGATTCTGGCAAATAGTTTTTCTATCTGATAACCCAAGAGAGGGGAGAAGAAAAATCACTTTCTTTTCCTTCTTGCTCATACTACTTTAACCATGTTGCTGAGTTAATCTGGTAGTTCCTAAAATTTGAAGTGATAGAAGAAGCTATTGGCTACAAGGAAAGACGGCAGTAAAACAGAGTGGTTAAGATCATACACTCTGGAGCAAGTACAGCCTAGATTTTAATCCTGGCTCTGCTAATTTATTAGTAGTGTGATCTAGAGTGAGTTATTTAAGCTCTCTGTGCCTCAGTCACTTCAACTGTAAAGTGGAGACAACAGCAGCAAACTCATATAGTTGGTGTATGGATTAAATGAGTTAATATGTATACAGTGCCTGGCACATAATAAGTACTCACCAAGTGTTAGGTGTTATTTTTCTTGTTATTATTATTGGTGCAAACAAAGTCCTAGGACACTCAGAGGTTCGTAGACATATAATCCCCAGAGTGGGACCTGCAATTACTAACAACCTAGCTTGCTTTCCTCTGCTAACACACAAACACTCAGGTTGCGTTTTGTCCTTTTGGGACATTGCTACATTTTGCTTCTTCTATACTACTCTTCATGATCTGTATCTGTCTCTTGCCTTCTTCTCCAGATATCTTGTCATTCCCCCACATGCATTCCATGTTCCAGTCATGGCCAGTGACCTCATTCACTCAACAAATACTTATGAGCGCCTAGACATGAACTGTGTAAGGCATTGGAGAGTCAACAAGATGTAAAAGTGGTTTCTGCCTTCATGGAGGTTACACTATAAAAACATTTAATTATAATCTATCTTTTATAAAAGTTAAAAGTACAGTGTGCAGTGAAAACATATAGTAGCTAAACCTACCATAGCTCATTTAAACCTCTATGCCTTGAGCCCTGCTATGTTCCTTTGCTGGTTCCCTTCTTTTTCTACCCTCCTTGCTCCACTTTTTCTATGAAGCCTTTCTTGACTGACTTCTTCTTCTTGTGTATTCTCATAACACCTTGTGCATAATTGCTTTCACAGAATTTATCACACTGTTGGTTTGCTTGGGTCTTTCCCTACAATATTCCCATTCCTCTATGAGTCTTTTCTCTCTGTATCTCAGGGTATTAAAAGAAATCTTTGGGGGCCGGCTCCGTGGCCAAGTGGTTAAGTTCACACGCTCTGCTTCGGCGGCCCAGGGTTTCGCAGGTTCAGGATCCTGAGTGTGGACATGGCATCGCCCATATGCCACAACTAGAAGGACCCACAACTAAAATATACAACTGTACTGGGGGGATTTGGGAAGAAAAAAGCATGGAAAAAAAAAAAAAGATTGGCAACAGTTCTTAGCTCAGGTGCCAATCTTAAAAAAAAGAAAAAAAGAAATCTGTTGAATGAATGATGTCCACTTTAAAAAAACTTTTTATCTTGAAATAATCATAGACTCAGAAGAAACTGCAGAAATAGTACAGAGAATTCCTTATACCACAATCGAGATACAGAACTGTTCTGTTACCACAAAGAACTCCCTTGTGTTATAGTGATGTACATTTTAACTAGATTTTCTCTGCATTATTACAGGGAAGAGTGATAGGATCTATAGCATATTAGCTCTGGAATGCAGTGTCCCCCCTCAGAGATGGCCTTGGTAACTTCCTTTCCTAAATCCTAGATTTTTAAATAGGTTAAAATGTTAAAATTAAGAATATTTTAGATTATCTTACTATCTTACATGATTATAACATTCAGAAATGGTTAGGCAAAGAAAAGACTCAACTTTAGAAAATTTGTAGTTGCGTCTTTGTTTTTCCAGGAATCATTTCTGTTTCCTTTGTTTTCCAGAATCAGGGCAATGTTTAAAACACAGTCTTAAGAGGATTCTGTTTCACAGCCATTGGCACTTAATGAAAAGAAAATGCCTTTTAACTAAAAAGGAATGCTTAAAACAATGTCATGTGCTTAGTTTTGGATATGGATCACATGGGAGCTTGTTATACATTCCAAAAAAGTTAGTTTAAATTGCTAGAAAATACTTATTTATGTTCTCCCTAAACTGGACACTATAACTAGCTGTGACTGTTCAGCTTCCAAGCTGAGAGGCAAGATCCGTAAGGAAATCAAGGCGGTGTTAATACTAATGACGCCAAGCACCCTACAGCTGTTCTACTACAGCACCTGCGGAAGAAAACCTGACTAAATCGGCCTCCTCCGACAGCAGCAGCCCCTTCCTGATTCTTCCAGTGCCCTCTGAGACTTTTTAAGGGGATGGCAACCTTGAGGGAAGGAATGGCAAACAAGTACAAATATTTGAGGATAAATATTCAACCTGTTATTTTCCCAGTTAAGATTAAACACCAAAAAGATTGTCTTCTTTGAAACTCTAGAAACATCGTCAGCCTGCCAGCCCTCAGTGTTTTAAATGTCCCTCACTGATGCTTTAAGTATTAACTAGCAGACAGCTATTTGTCTGACCCAACATCCATCCCCAATGCTTTTCTCCCATATAGCCTTGTGCTAGAGCTTGGAAAAACTAAGTCTTTGCAGCTATAGTTGCCTAAATTACAGTTCTAAAAAATGAGATGTATATGAGTCTGCTGAGTTGGGCCTATCAGGTATTGTCCTGGGAAACCTTTTACTTTCCTGAAAAAGGAAAAATATATAGGTGGCTGAAGTCACTCCTCTATCTAATCACTCTAGCTAGAAAATTCAGTCATCCTTCACTTCTTATTTTTCCTCATCCTCTTAGTAACCAAGTCTTGTTTATTATACCTAGTTTCAAATCCATCTCTGCTTCACTATCCTCATTGCCACTAAATTAGTGTGGACTCTCTCTCCATCTGTCTGATCTATTTTAACAGCTTCCTGGATAGTATCCCCAGTTTCAGTCTGATCTCCATCGTGCTTCAGAATTTTTTCTAAAATCTTATTGAGATATTCTCCCCCTCAAAAATCTTAAGTGGTTCTCTGTTGTCTATAGGGGTGAAACACAAACTCTTACCATAAGTATTGTTTGTTGTTTTTGTCTTCTTCTTCAGACTTTACATCTTCAGGATCCAGTCTGGCACTGAGTAGGTGTTCGAGCGTTTGCTAAATGACTGAATCTTTTGTATGGCTTCTTTGTTGTTTAATACCAAAACCACTTAAAACATTTAATCAGACTAAGCAGAGTGATAGCATGCTGGGCAGTCAATAAAGATTTGTTGAATGAATCTAGTTTCTAAATTCTACTGTAAAATCCTCTATCAGTAGTCCCAAGTACATACATGTTGGTGTGCAGTCAGTTGATCTAGCCTGCCCTACAGGAAGACTCTTCAGTACCGTGTATGCTTTTAGTTTACAATTAGTCATGCACACTCTCCAGACTGGGTTTGTGCCAAGAGTTACCAACTTAGGTGAAGTGTGTGTGGGCATTTCTGACAATTTCTGATCCATGAATAACTTCTATCAAATGAGAGAGCAAATCCACAACTTTCTGCTTGCTAGCAAGCTGCACCAAGTTAACCAAACCAGTGTGGGCCACAGCCATTAGCTGCTACAAAGGCTTCGCTTTGTGAACTGAAGGCGCTCCTTTGGAACTTGCTGACGGGGAGCGGGGAGCCACCGCATTGCAGCACAAAACTACCTGAAGGCTTCTCATGCAGAGGCTCCCCTCCGCCCCCCTAGAACTGGGAGCCCTGGAGTTTTTGCTTGGCCTTAAGAGACCAGGGCATGAAGCCCTTCTTGATGAGATCCGGGAAGCCGAACATGCTCTGGAAAGTGGAAGGCGTGTTCTGGAGAGAACCGGCTGAGGAGACAAAGCCCGCTCAGCCAGCCGACCAACGTCTGCCCTCCTTCCCCTGGTCTGGTTTAGCCCTCCTCATTTCCACTCCTCGAACCAGCCTGCAAATTTCCATATTTCAAGGGGGTGAAAAACAGCCTACAGCATAAAACTTGGTGCTTTGCTGTCCACATGTCCTAGCACTGAGTTCCTCGGGCCGCTCCTTTCTCCAGAGTAAGCCTGAAGTCTCCGACCCCACTGGCGCCCCAGGTCCCCACATCTCCGGAGGGGGTGATGGGGACGAACCCTCCGCGGCGCACGCGCTCTTCGCTGACCTTCCCAGGGAAACCCCTTCAAAAGCGCTTCCCCGGCACCTCACGCCGCCCCCGCCCTTCCTGCTCTTTCCGCTTCCTTTTTCGCGCCTGCGCGGACCCAATTGTTTTGGTTTTCCGGTGGGATCCGGCAAAGGAAAAAAGGCGGGGGCGCCTCGAGAACCCGGGAAACTGCAAAACTGCCGCTTGGGTCGCTAGGCGCGCGCGAGCGGCGGGAACGAAAACCTGGCGAGGGCCGGCCCACAGTCCCCAGCCCGCGCGTTCCCGGGCCGCGCCAGGGGCCCGCGAAGGGGGCGAGAGCGCGCCACAGGGGCGGGGCGGGAGCGGCGAGCCGGGCGTCTCGCGGCCCCGGGGCTGACGAGGCGGGGAGGGCGGGCGGCGCGGCTCCCGGGGGAGGAGTCTGGCGGTGGTCGGGCCCTGAGGAGCGTGCGGCGGCGCCCGCAGAGGACGGTGCTTTCCGCGCAGGACGGACCGACCGAAGGAGGGCGCAAGGGAAAACCGGAAGGAAGAGGCGGCGGCGGCGCCAGCCTTCCTCGGCGGGAGGCGGAGGCGAGACCCCGGCCCCGGCCGCGGCTGGAGGGCCACGCCCCCGCCGCCGCGCCCGAGGGGCCCAGTGTCTTTGGGGCGGCCGGCCGCACCGGATCCCAGCCCTCGGGACCGAGGGACGCGGGTGAGCTGGGGTCGCCAGCGCCGGGCCGGCGGGTGGGGGCAGCCCGCGGCGAGCTGTGAGGGAATTGGGGGAGGGCTGGGGGGGGGGGGGCTCGCCCTTTGGTGGCTCGGGGGGCGGGGGGTGGCGGCATCTTTCAACCCCCAGACGCTTCCGCCGCGGGCGGGGGAGGGGCGCGGGCGGCCGGCGCCGCCCTCCGCAGCCCGCCGCGGCCCCTCTGCGCCCGGCGCCGGGCGGGGGCGCGGGCCCGGGGCGGCGGGGCGCGCCGCTCGCGGGGGCGTTTCCGGCCGCGGGTCTCCGGGCGGCGCCCTGGCCCGGCCCAAAGAAAGCTGTTTGCCGACGCACTCGCGAGGTGGTGGGCCGGAGCAGGGCCGGCCCTTCCGCGGCTTTTCTTCTCTCCTGGTAGCTCTGAAGTACCTGAGAGATGTCTAGATACGTGGGGGTCCCCTGATGATCTAGGAATGATCTTAAAAAGAAAGCAGAAGCTGCCCTTTGAAGCGGAAAATTGTGTACGTGTTTACTTGAGACTGTGAAATCGTGAACTTACTTGAACTCGACCACCTCCCCCTCCTTATGAATTGAGAAACCGTGGAGTAGAAGGATATCCTTTAGTTTGATGCGGGGCAGTTATTTTGGTTTAACGTCTTGTTCTTCTGGTTTAGCAATCTCAGATCTCTTATAGCCAGCCGCCTGAAAGGGAGAGGCGTCTCCTCCGCACGAGCCCCAGATCTCTAGAATTGTCCCTTATCAGTGAAAATAGAGAAAGAATCCAAAATGGAAAATTAACTTTGAAAGGGTGTGTTTGTGTGAAATATCTTCTATATCGGTTAGTTTTACGAAAACGTAGGGTGCGGGACTGGTCACGTGTTGTTTATACATGAATCTGTATGTCTGGCTCACCGAGCTTTCAGACATTCAGAAAGAAAACCCTGTCAGCAGTGTGGTCTGACCAAAATTATATTTTCTTCTATTGAAGCAACTAATTAACGGGGTGGGGTTTTTTTTCCCCCTCTCTTCTGAGTTGCGAATTTTGAATTTGAGTAGTATGAACTTCAAAGTTCTTGCCGTCGTAACTTATTTTAGTTAACCTTTGGTAAGGACTTTTTTTCCTGACGTTGTTTCAGAAGGACTTTTTTTTTTTCCTAACGTAGAGTAAATTGAAAAGTCGAACTAGTCAGTTGTTTTCTAGGCTTGATGGTGTGGAATTTTGCTGTTCTTTTCAGCTGGCTGCCAGCTATTGTTAAGCTGACTTTTTCACTTTGATCTTTTGTTGGTCGAGTGCTTAATGAAGCTCTTTTAAATTGGGCCCTGAAATCCTGAAGAGGTGGTTGTGTGTCAGTGAACTCTGCAGGACCGTGGCATTTCTGTTGAGCATGCTTCATGGTCCACGCTTGTCCACATAGTGCTGTGTTCTCTGCACATATTGGGTAGGAAGAGTTTTAAGTGCTGTAACTCTTCTCTTTTTGCTCTCGTAAGAAGCATTGCCGTAAAATTTGTTAACCTTATTCACAGGGCCTGTAAGGAGATGAGCGGGGGTAGAGATGTCGTAGTACTCGGGTCCACACACTTTCATAGGTTTTCTTTCTCCTGGTTAATGGAAATAATGAGATGTTTCATAAGATCCAAACATTGAACACTGTGTTTAAGGTGGATCGTAAATTCCTAGAAACTTGAATGTAGTCTTAAAAGCCAAAAGAGACATCGATTTTCCCAAAGATTGTACACAGTTATTTAGAAAAGAGTTGTTTTTCTCCTTGCCCACATTCTGAAGACCAGGAAAAAGGATTGGTCCTGCTGTCATAAAATATGTGAATGAAAATGTCGAAGTCGATTATATCTCAGCCTTGTCGTTTTCAGTTTTGGGGAGTTTAAATAGAACAAGTGGTATTTAAATAACTCATAGTATTAGAAATAACAGTGGATTTCAAATCCACTTTTTAAGTATGTGAAGATTACTCCTGGTTCCCTTGCCAGGAATGTGCAGCACCTAGATTTTTCTGTGTGAGAAGGGATTATTATAGGAGATTTGGGGAAAATATAGTCATTTAATGAGCGATGCTTCTCTTTCTGTGTTGCACTCCCATACCTGTGACAAGTTGTGACATATAACACCTTCCATTGTAGGCAGAGAATTCTAAGTATTCCTCAGTTTACCTTTTTTTTTTTTTTTAAAGAAACTGAGAAACTTCAGTAGCCCTAATCACTATTAAGTAGCTATACCCTTAATGACCTCATGAGTATGTTTGAACATCTGGGAAATATTTTCTTCTGCTGTTGTGATTGGAAAAAATCATTGACTTGGTGGAAAATGAAATCCCAGTGAAAAAGTTGGGGTCAATTCTGCTTTAGCCTCTATTTCTCCAGCTTTCTTAAGTCACCGTGCAGAGCTGGGAGGAAAAGAAGAAAAGCAATAGCCACATCAAAAGAACATACTACACATGTCTATCACAGATGGCATCTCCTTTATGTTCTTGTTTAATTTTTTAAAAGTGAGATAACTTATTAATAATAATGTAGTACAGAAGCTTATGCTTGTGACCTGAATTTACTTAGGGTAGTGAGCGTAATTAACTTGATGGAGCCTTTTCTCTGTGGTTGGAAAGGGGAACACAGGGGAATAGACCATAGCTCTGAATTTGATTAGAGTAGGGGAAGCTATACCGAAATTTATCAGACTTGATAAATTCTTCAAAAGGCAAGGTGTTTGTTTTTTACTTGATGTTTGTCACAACTCCAAAAAATTCTCTGTAGTGGTTGACAGTCAGTCTAAAGACCAAGTGGTCTTCCAAACAAACGTTCCCAACTGTTAGGGTGGTTTTGATAAGTTTGAAAGCAAACTGTTTCTGGCACCAATGTTTTGTTCTCCCAGAGGAGAAACCTGTCTCCTCAGTGAAATGAAGAAAACCTTGTTTTCTGCACAGGCATCAGCCTTCTCAAGATTAGTGTTTGTTGAACTAGTTTGTTTCATGATTTGTACCATCAAAATACTCCCTAAAAGCCTTGAATGAGTTTGTCTTATCTAAAAAACTATTCTCTCAGGGTATAAGAGAACTGTGTTTGAGTGCTGAGACCTGGTAATTGGGGCCCCTAGACCTGGTATAGGTATGGAGATTCAGAAGTTGGGAAAGTGCTATCAAAAGTATGACTAGTGAACATGTTAATAAAAATAATTGCAGATATTTATGTAGTAGTGCTGTGTGTCAGGCACTGTTCCAAGCTCTTTATGAAACTTGTTTAATCTTTAATCCATTGAACAGAGTTCTACTTTTATCCCCCATTTTACAGATGAGCATACTACAGCACAGAAAGTAAATAGCTTATGAAAGGTCAGGCAACTAATAAATTGCAGAATTGGGCTTTCCACCCAAGTAGTTTGGCCCCACAGTTCAAGATCTTAATTTTTTGGTGATACTTAATTTTTTGGACGTTCAGAATGCCTTGAATCATTTCCAACAAAAGTTTTCAATCTTCTGTATTGAGGTTTGTAGCATTAAAAGATGAGGGGCTGGCCCCATGGCTGAGTGGTTAAGTTCGCACACTCCGCTTCGGTGGCCCAGGGTTTCACCGGTTCAGGTCCTAGGCACAGACATGGCACCGCTCCTCAGGCCATGCTGAGGTGGCATCCCACATGCCACAACTAGAATGATCCACAACTAAAAATATACAACTATATACTGGGGGGCTTTGGTGAGAAAAAGGAAAAATAAAATGTTTAAAAACAAAAAAAAAGATGAAGCATCACCTACGTTAGTAATATACAACTTGAAAGTGCTTCATGCGGATGATGACCTGTAGCCCACTGCCCTTCTTCTCTATCACTGTTTTATCCCTACTGTATAATTTCTGTGCAATCCTTGTTCACAGCCTCCTCCCCATCATCTTTTTGTCTGCCTTTCAGTTAATATACACAGCCCAGTTAATTGCTATAATCAGTCTCATTTTCACTTTCAGTAGTTATTTAATCTTTTGTTCTTTCCTTGATCATCCAGGTCTTGCTTGGTTAATGTTGGAAAAGCTTGGTTTGCTTCTTTTGTGTTTCTGTAGCTACTGGAAGAGTGCTACAAATGACACACCTGTGGGATTGAAAACTAGGTTTCAAAGTGAAATTAGACACCTTCCTTTACCCTAGTAAAAACCACTGCCATCAACCCTGAAACCTTTAAAATTATTCAGTTATTTTTTAAAATTTCAGCCTTTCTCCAATTATTCTTGGTTTCTATTCTTTTAATGTCAATATTCAGAATTTATAAGATGAATGTAAAATTTTTTCTGAGTCTTGCTCAGAAAAAAAAAAGGAGAATTGGCAGCAAATGCCAGCTCAGGGCTAATCTTCCTCAAAAAAAAAAAATTTGGTCTTTGTTCCCTATTATTTACAAAAAGTCAGTGGGTAGAGAGAAGAAGATAGGCTCTCATGCTATCCTGCTATTCTCTGCCATTAAGCAAATCAATCAAAAACATTGAATTGAGCCCAGAACTTAGAAATAGGAGTAAGACTATCCATAATTTTTATATCAAAGTACGTTGCCCTTTATTAGATTCTGAATTTCATTATATCATGTTTGTATGACTCCCATTTAATTGTTATTTTAGTTGGCATTTTTCACTGTGGAATATGCTCCAATGACCAGCTTTAGAAGATAGAACTTTCCTATTAAGCTTGAAGTACCAGTTACCAGGAATTGTGGCATATAACAGTCATTTCCCAGTGTCTGGCCCTTCGTTCATATAATGAATCTGTGTGTCCACTAAATGACTTTACACAAGCATTTTCTTATATACGTGTTTTTTAAATATATCTAGATGTTGCTGTAGTTGAATAGTATTTTTGACTCTATAATAGTCTTTTCTCATTGTGGGTTTTTCCCCAACAAATTATCTTGGAGAGGAATGTCTTTTTTTTTTTTTTAACTTTAATAAAGCATGCTTCAACTAGATAAAAGAAAAAGCGTTTCAGAAGTCCGCTGAACCTCCAGTAGGTGGGGAAAGCAGTTATGTGGTTAGATAAAAAGACGTTAGAATATTTCAGTTGAAAAGTAGAATATATACAGGTTAGATCAACGAAGCATGATATTTAATTCAACTTTCAAGCATTTAAGGTTTGTGCTTTTTCCTTGGTTTTGTGATCTGAAAGGAAAACATTCTTCTAGAAAAACAACTTGAGTTAGGCATTTTAGGTCACTGACTTAGTATTTGATCAAGAAGCAGTCTCAAGCAGAGATTGGTACATGTGGCCTGCAGCCTGTTTTTGTAAATAAAGTTTTATTGAAACACAATCATGTCCATTTATTTACATATTGTCTTTTGCTGCTTTCAGACTACAACAGCAAGAGTTAAGCATTTGGGAGAGAGATTTTATGGCTTGCAAAGCCTAAAATATTTTGTCTTTGTAGTATACCTTTTGAAAGATTTTTTTAAATTAGATAATCCTTGCGTATATTAATAAAACCTAGAAGGTTTAAATAGATCTTAACTAAGTTTTCTTCCTCTGCAATGTGAACCACTGTTAGCAGTGAGACCAAGTGCCAACTACCTCTTTTGTTCGTTTTACTTGTACTGCACTTTTTCTTATGGTAAAGAATAAAATTTCTTGGACTTTTATGTCTCTATTGAAAGTTTGGAAATGAAGATCAAGGCAGCTAGATTTCAAGAAAAATGTTTCTTATACCCAACTTGCTTCGCTCATTTGCCTCCCTCTTTTGGCTTTTGAGTTTATCTAGAAAAATTAGTTTTTAAAACACCCTGTTTTTAAGTGATAGTCATGGTTTTGGCTGTAGTCTGTATTAAAAGTAAATGCACTTGGTATTTTGGAGCTCTAGTGGTTGGCAAACTCTCAGTCTTGAGTACTTAGAGTACAATGACCAGCACTTGGTAAATACTCAATAAACATTTGTTAAGTTATCATAGTGATTAATTTATAGTAGAAAATTAAGGAAACAGTTTCCTTGATACCTAATAATCACTCAATCTGAGGATGCTAACTTCTACCGATAATAGGATGTGACTTATTTTGAAGCTAATTTTAGCTGTAATACAGAATGATATATGACAATATATTCATTAGAAAGGGAAATTTGTAAAATGTGTGAAATCACTGGTACAGACTATTTGACATGTTTAAGAGTATTTAGAGTATTGATTTCACGTTTTGTTTTTAGGAGAGAAGGAATCTTGTTACAGAATATGTTCATGTTATGACCATTTGAAGGTTATTGGTTGATGATCTTAAACTTTGCAGCTTTTCACATTTTTAGTTAATACATTTTGAAGTCTATGTTCCCAGAGAAATGATAGTTTTGTTTTGGATTGTCCTAGATACAGATCTATTTAAATTATTAATTTATTTACTTATCTGAATGATCTACTTTTTCTGCCTATTTTAATATTAAGATATCCTAAATAAAAATTACCTTATCAGGAAGAAAATGAACCCTAGATTACAAATGAAGGGGTGGGAAATAGGGGTGTATAATTCAGTGATAATGAGGATTACATAAAGTTGGCTCACTGTGTAATTTTCTAAAAGCAGACTTCAGTTGTTTTAATACAGTTTCAGTATATGATTAAAAAAAATCAAATCTAGTAAAACCAACGTAACAAATTAAATGGGGCCCAAAATAGTCATTGCAAATATCCACAGTGAGCCTGTACAGCTAGCCTGCAAGGAATTCTGGGATCTGGCAGTGTGATCCAAATCCATCCTGGTCCCGGCCGCCAAGTCCTGTCACCTGGTTTAAATATGGATGGCGACGATTTTGGGTCCTGCAGCTGAGGTTATGACTTTCAGTTTATTAATGCATGCATTTCTGTAAGATAAATTTCTAGAGGTACAATTGATAGATAGAGGTAGTGAGCATTTACAGTGCCAAATATTGTATCTTCTATAATACTTCACTTGGAATTCTGAAATTCAGAAAGCTAAAATCAAGTTTTTAAAAAAACTTTGCAAAACCTGACCTGAAGTAACATGAGGCTATTTATAGTATTATTTTTCACACTGTTCATATTTCCTGCCACGAGTATGGTAATATGTTCAATTATGAAGTACTGCTCCAGACTCTTTGAGAGAGTCTTGTAATACATAGTATATGTACCACATTATTTCCATAAAATCTGAAAAGTTCTAAATTCCAGAATATATCTAGCTCCAAGAGTTTTAAATAAGAGCTTGTAGGTATGTGTTGACTTACACTCCTGTGTAAGAATGTTCATTTTCCTACACCCTCACTAATACTAGGCCTTGCTGCATTATTAATATGTGAAAATAGCCAGTGATACTAGGTATTGTTAGCCTTAGAGGTTGTAGTGGTAGAACTTAGATTTATAGTGTAACTTTCAGATTTGAAGAGCAAAGTCATTACCTTAAATGACCCAAAGTGTCACTCTGCCTTTGCACCTGTTTTAGTTACTTCTGTAGTTAACTTGGCTGGAAATTTGACGGTCTGTATCAAGTTAGCAGTTTGTGTAATAGTATAGTTTGGCAGGAAGTACAATGTGATCTTCTCTTTGACATATGGATGATATTTGGTGAGAAAAAGTATTAGTGGTTCCAATGATGGTCACATTCATAGGTTTCATGTCAACAGCACTTTATTGTTATGGGAACTGAGAGTCATTTAATTAGAAAAGAGGTGGTAGTTTTTAGCTAACTGTAACTGGCATTCCCTTTGGGTTTTCCCTCTTCCCAATTTGTAATTCCTCTGCCGTATGTTGTAAATACTGATTTCCAGATAACATTTTAAAGTTAAACTTTAATTCAGCTGGAATTTCTTTTGATGAGTGGTATGCAATATGCAGTATGACTAAAACCTAAGTTATTTTTTTTCGAGTATTTAGCCAATTGTTCCAACATCATTTGTTGAAATAAGCCCGTCTTCCTAATTTGAAATACCATGTTTATCATATCTAATTTCTTATGTTTACTTGGGTTTATCGTAGATTTGTAATACATTTTAATATTTGATTAGAGTCATGAGGAAAAACTTGCCCTTTCTTTCCCTCAAATATCTTGGCAACTTTTGTTCATTCTTCCAGATGAATCTTCTGCAAATAGGATTGAGATTGGATTTGCGTTAAATTTACAGATTTTGGAGAACATTCATATTTGTATAATATGAAGTCTTCCATGTAGGAACACGTCTCTCTATTTTAACATGTTTTATGTTTTTCCCCCCAGTAAAATTGTATGCTCTTATAAAGTTTTCTAGGAGGAAACCACTCTATGAAAAGAATATTGCATATACTTCCCTTACAGGATTGAACTGCAAATTTAAAAAATATGTAGTTTATACTTTGGAAATAGATTGAATCTATTTGCCAAATAGTTTAAGTAATTTAAATTAAATATAAAACCTTTGCTAATACATTTAAAGTATATCCCCAAAATGAGAATCTCCCTGCAAGAGAAAGGAATTTTTTTTCCTCTTAAATTGTGGTCATATGTTGCTACTAAACAAATAACTAGCAGATATAGTTTTGCTGGTAATTTAAATTATTTTATTTTTAAAGAACTTTAAAAATATATGCTTATTGATGTGCTCCTTATTTTCTAGAATGTTTATATTTTGTTTAGTAGACAAAAAGTTAACTTAAAATTAGAAATGTTAATTTTTTTCAGCCTGTTTTTTGTTTTAAATGTAAGAGATTTTTTAAATGTTGCTTTTCTCATATTTTATTTTTTTGGTAATGTCTAAAGTTGAACTTCAAATAAATATAATTTATTTATATTTAAGTCTGCCATTTTAAATGTATTCTAAAAATGTATTGGCCTAGATACGCTAACCGAACTTTTTTTCTTTTTAGTTTCTCCGGAGGATCCACAGAACATAAGATGTTGCCACCAAATCTACCTCGTTTGTTACTCTCTTTGACTCATGAGCTGCACAACAATTGCAAATTTGAGCAAGATGTCTGCAGACTGTGTTGAAAAACTCTCAAGAACCTAATTAACACAGGATGACCTAGGAGTGATTCTAAGCCTATAACAAGATACTATTCATTAGTAAATGTGTCAGTCTTGGTTCTGAATGCTGCAGATAACAGCAAGCAGAGTTTCTCCTTTCTTTATTACTGAGGCATTCACTTGACCTTCCATCAGTAAGACTGACTTTTCTAATCTGTGCTGGGAGATTTTAATGGAATACAGTCATGTCCACTCAAGACGAGAGGCAGATCAATACTGAATATGCTGTATCCTTGTTGGAACAGTTAAAACTGTTTTATGAACAGCAGTTGTTTACTGACATAGTGTTAATTGTTGAGGGCACTGAATTCCCTTGTCATAAGATGGTTCTTGCAACATGTAGCTCTTATTTTAGGTAAGTACTTTAATTTTGGTTAGTTGGTAATTTCAAATGCAGAATGTTACCTTATTTTAATATTTTAATAGGAATTCTTTTAAACATTATTTAAATTAAAAAATAGATATCTTAATGTTTTCCTTAAATTTTTTATTTGCATGATGTAGTATTTACCAAATCACTTCCTTGCCTGTATAAGTAAGGGACAAGTAAAAGAAATTTTACAAGGATTTAAATACAAGAAATTTATTGAAATTAACTAAAATTTTAATGATGGGGAGGCAAAAAGATTCAGAATACTATTTTTCCATTAAAAGAGAAAGAAAAACAAATGGGGTAATTTTCCCCTTGAGATTTTAAAATACTAAATTTAGAAAACTGGTCATTGTTTATAAATTTAAGAGTTACAGTAGGCTCAATAATAACTTTTAGAGGATAATTGGCACTGTATAGACATATTAAGGACTTTCATTTCCTTTGCAAAAATGTGTTTCTTTTTCTCACTCTCGGTTACTATTATCATTTGATACCCTTTTAGCCTTAGCAGGCTCCTTGTCAGTTTTAAATATTTAATAATTAATAACATTGTAGGTATTCTCTTTGCCTCAGAATGTAGAAGTTGATTTAGTTATTTATTGTTTGCTAATTACAAATAAATGAGGCTTAATTTTACATTTTTATAATATTTTGCAACTTGTAATCTTTTTAAAGTAGATTGCTCTTTATTATGAGTTCCATGAGAGGAGTAGAAGCTAAGGCATAGAAATTCTATTGTTTTATGCCCTTAGGTTGAATTTTTAACGTAATGTTTAAAAGAGAGAGGGTAAATAAAGATGAATTAAGTGTGGACCATTATATTCCTACTACAAATGTTTAGCGGCCATGAATGGAGATCAGTAAAGAAAGTTAGTTTCTTCTGCTCTTTAGTGGCAGCTATAGACAGCTGTAGTCAGGTTTAATCTTGACTTTTCAAGACTAACATATGTGAAGGTGTAGAAACTTCACATTCCTCAGTGTAACATATCTTACCATAATTACAGAAGCTAAGGCCCAAATGCCAGTTGTCTTTGCTGTACCTGCAGTTTTTTCAGGTTAAACTGTGGATTTTTTGTGTAGTTTCAGACACTGATTTTCTTATGTTAGAAAGCTTAGCATATTTGCAAACAGTGGTTCAAAAACTTGGTTGATCATCGGAATCCTCTTGGGTGCTTTTACAAATAGAGATTGTTGGATTTCAAACCTAGAAATTTTGATTCATTGGGTCTGGTTTAGAGTTTCAGAATTTATACATTTAAAAGCTTCCCAAGGGGCCAGCTTGGTGGCATAGTGGCTAAGTGTGCACGTTCCGCTTTGGCAGCCCGGGGTTCTCCAGTTCGGATCCCGGGTGAGGACATGGCACCGCTTGGCAAGCCACGCTGTGGTAGGCGTCCCATATATAAAGTAGAGGAAGATGGGCACGGATGTTAGCTCAGGGCCAGTCTTCCTCAGCAAAAAGAGGAAGATTGGCAGCAGATGTTAGCTCAGGGCTAATCTTCCTCAAAAAAAAAAAAAGCTTCCCAAATGATTGTGATGTTCAGGGTGTTTTTTTAGATCTATTGGCTTAGTAAATGATGTTAGGAATTTGAGGTTACAGATTCAGTCAATACCTGGGCCCATTAGCTCTCCCTTTTTAATGGCCATTAATTATAAATTGATTACCCATTATTGGAAAGACTTTGTGCCTTAGTTATGGATTTTCAGATTTACATTTGTAATCAAAGGGTAGAATCTTTTGTGATAATAACCTTAGCAGTCATCTAGTCTAACTTAAAGCTATGCAGAAACTCTGTCGCTTTAAACTCTATCTGTAATATTTTCTGTATTATTGTCTTTATCAGCAAGTAGCACATAGGTTTATTTACGTATCTTCCTTTTTTTCTTTCCTATTTAAGTTTATTTGTGACTATATAGGTAATAACACAGTTCTTTTAAATTCTCTAGCCCTGAGATTATTATTTATCTTAACTGGTTGGGTTGGAGTTGGTTTTCCTGAAGACCAAGAAACTTAAATTTTTCATTAATGTTACAGTCTTAAAGACAATACAACCTTTTATTTTTTTGAGGAAGATTAGCCCTGAGCTCACATCTCCCGCCAATCCTCTTTTTGCTGAGGAAGACTGACTCTGAGCCAACATCTGTGCCCATCTTCCTCTACTTTATACGTGGGACGCCTATCACAGCGTGGCTTCCCAAGCGGTGCCATGTCCTCACCTGGGATCCAAACTGGTGAACCCTGGGCCTCGGAAGGGGAATGTGTGAACCTAACTGCTGCGCCACCAGGCAGGCCCCTAATACAACCTTTTTAAGGCTGCTATTATTTCCTTATTACTAGCTAGTTCCCTTCTTTAGCATCCTTGGCCTTCCGAGATAATATATTCTGCATAAAGTGAATCAGGTAATAAGAAGTAGGAATAACAGTAAGTAGAAAGAAGAGTCTCATACATGTCTGAGATTAAAGTCACACTCATCTTTAAAATCCTGTGTCTGGGCCGGTTTTACAATGCACAAAATGAAAGCACTCATAGAGTAGGTTTTTTGTCCCATATATATTTTTTCTCTGGGTTGGGTAAATTATCACATACTCCCACAATAATAATTTGATTTTTTCCTAGATGTTCTTCAACTGGATTCTGCTTTCAGGTTTATAGATTTCATTATCTTTGCATATAATGCTACTAGCAATCTTTACCGTTAGAAATTTACTATTGGAAAATTTGCCTTTTGAACTAGATACGTTCTTCCTTTGAAGTTTGAGTTACCAGTTCCATCCCACCTCTGATATCAATAGAACCTCTGATAGCAAAAGAACCTCTGAAATAGTAGTTTCTGCTTCTTAGTAACATTTACAGTTCATTTTAGACCCTAAATGAGAGATTATTTGAGAATTACTGAGCACCTCTTATACTGTGGTACTTCAGCCTGTCATAATATTATGTAATTCAGTATTTGCTGTTTCTTAAAAATGTCTGTTTAAAATTTTCATGATCAGATTGGCTAGGCTTCTACTGTCTTTGGTCTTCAGGAAGCACAGTTCCTTCCCAGAAGTCCATCATTCTGGTATCATAAACTGTAGTCTAGAATAACCAGTCTCGGTGTCATCTGTATAGTCAGCTGTTTCCTTGCCCTACTCCCTCTTCCAAGTTACTACCTCTACTGGAATAGACATAAAAACCACTTGACCCCTAAATCTTCCGTTTTTACTTGGAGCTCTTAGATTTCTTTTTCAGATTTCTGTTAGTTATCTCCTATTCTCCCGTGTCAAACAGGTAAAGCCAGTAGCAATAGGTGTTTTTTTTAAGGGTTTCATGTTATGTCTTGGATGTTTTTCAAGAATACTTCCTGCTCTCCATTGCTGGGTTGGGTTTATTTATAGCCATCCTGTAGTCTTCGGGAGATAGTCATCAGCTGCCCTGATTGAAGTTGTTTGTGCCTCTCCTCCCCTCCCCAGCTGCGTGAAGTTTAGCTGCTGTCTGCACTGCTCATTCTGAGCTACACCAGAAGTCACCAGTGACAACCTAATTGCTCTTGCAGTGTTTGTTACCCATCACTCCAGTTTTTTTTTTTTTAAAGATTTTATTTTTTTCCTTTTTCTCCCCAAAGCCCCCCGGTACATAGTTGTATATTCTTCGTTGTGGGTCCTTCTAGTTGTGGCATGTGGGACGCTGCCTCAGTGTGATTTGATGAGCAGTGCCATGTCCGTGCCCAGGATTTAAACCAATGAAACGCTGGGCCGCCTGCAGCGGAGCGCATGAACTTAAGCACTCTGCCACCGGGCCAGCCCCATCACTCCAGTTTTTGACACCCCACCTCTCTTGCCCTGAGTAGCATGGTACTGGCCTGCTTGGTCTTATTTCTCTGACGAATCTTTCTCAACTTTCTGTCGTTCTTTTCTCTTTTTTATCCTTATTGAACTCTCCCTCAGGTTGATCATTGGGATTCTGGGTGGATTTTTCTTTTAGTTTTTTCACTCTCCTTCAGGTAACTTACTTGGCTTGAACACATCACTTTGTAGATAATTCACAGTCCATTGTGTTAACGCCTTACCTTCTCTGAAGTTCCACTAATACCAAATACTTAACTGATTATTGTATTATTTCCATTTGATTCAACTGTCCTTACCTCAAATTAAATATATCCAAAATTTAACTCACCTTTTTCCCAGGGTTAACTTTCTTCCTTGACCTTGGAATTTTTCAGTAGTTCACAATATTTTTTCAAGTCTTTGCTTGAAAATAAACAGGTAGCTTTGATTTTTATCCCCTACCTATTTCCTACTCTATCCCTTTCCTTATCTTCAGAAAATCACCAGATCTTGTTAGTTGTTTGTAATAGCTTTTGTATCCATTTCTGCCACCCTAGCTTAGGTTCTTCCTTCTGATCTAGTTATTGCAGTAGCTTCGTAACTAGTATTTTGATCTCTAGCCTTTGACCCTTGAGGTCTGTCAGTAGAGTATCCATCCTAGAATATATTTTATTATGCTAATAATACCATGCTCAAAACTCTTCAGTGTTTTCCACTTACCTACAAGAAAAAGCTCAGACTCCTGTGTCTCATTTTAAAAGCCCTCTGTGATTTGAGTGCCACTTATCTTTCCAGTTCACTTTCCAGTCTCCTGCATAAGCCCTTATATTCAGCCATGCCCCTGGAGAGAACAGTTCTTATGTTCTACTCTCACTCACTGTTTCATCCATTTTGAGTGCCTTCCTCATCTTGTCCTTGAGGGGCCCAGGCTAGTGACTGTTGTGATAACCACTT